AGGGTGGAGAATCTGATTATTTGTGCGGGAGTCTCCACTATCAGCAATATCTCGTGTGAATGCGTGTGAGTGAATGTGTGTGACTAGACCAAGGCTAGGATGAATAAATGTGGACAAAGAAAGGGGATGGTTTGCTTTGCTTTGTTTTGCCATGAGCAGGAGGAGTGGAAGACTTAATTCTGGGGATGCTGATTTCCTGTTGACTTACTTATCTTTAACACCTTCTGCATCACTAGTTGCTAAGCAAAGATAAAGCAAGATGTGTTCCACGTTTACCCTAGAAAATAAATCTATGTAATGTTTGTGTATGTAAGCCTGTTATGCATTCATTCACTACACTCCACGCCTTCCCTGCAAGTTAAAAGCTGTACAGTTAAAAGTTAAATGAATTTAACTTTTAACATCACACGCTGATGTTTGCTTTGAGAAAATTTCTGTTTTATTGACTGGGGTGAGATTATGGTATTACATTATATTGTTGGGAGAATGCCAAATGCTAAAGGGCAAATGCAAATTTTTTGATATAACTCATGTTACCATTAATTGAAGAAACACATGACTGATAACTGTTCTGTTTTAAGTTTTCTTTCTTATAACACAGATTGGATCATAAGTGGGGAAAACTGAGTATGAAATGTGAAGTTCAGGTTAACACAGGTTAACAGGTTTTGTTTCTAGGAAGTTCCAAGGATGCAGGCTCTGGATGGAGCCAGGAGTTGACATGATGATTAAATTGATTTCATCCCTTAAACACAGGTTTGCAGGCCCGGAGCAGATATACCTGAGAGGAGGATTGCTGAGATGTTTAGTCAAATAATATGACTAACCTTTTTCTTTTGATTTCCTAAGCTCTGGTGAAGCATTTTCAGTTTGTGACACATAAGAGGTGTCAAAAGGGGGGATTTTAGGTTTAATTTGAAATAATGGGTTTTTATGATTCAGGTGCGGTAAAACTTATGCATAAATGATTGCTTATATGCTTAAGCTTAACTGATTGAAAATCTCTGACTTGGGTTGGATGTATTTTAGTAGAATAAGCATTTATAATCATTTTATATACACATTGCATATTTGTGCTCATTAAAAGTTGATGATCAGTCTATTAAAGGTTTCAAGCTTTGTTTGGCGCGATGTCCAGACAATCTATTGTGTAAGTGACTTGGAGCACAGAAGGATAAACTGCGTACATGCTTACAAACACATGATTTAAACATAGACCAGGCCAAAGGCCTGGAATTCATTTAACTTTTAACTGTACAGCTTTTAACTTGCAGGGAAGGCGTGGAGTGTAGTGAATGAATGCATAACAGGCTTACATACACAAACATTACATAGATTTATTTTCTAGGGTAAACGTGGAACACATCTTGCTTTATCTTTGCTTAGCAACTAGTGATGCAGAAGGTGTTAAAGATAAGTAAGTCAACAGGAAACGTGTGGGGGTGAGATGGTTGAAACAAAAATGTTGCAGATGACGGAAACTTGTCTAACTGTCATTAACTGTAACTTTTGCATGCCATGTATCTGCTGGAAGCAAAAAGAGGCGTAAATCCTGATAGACAAAATTTTGGAGTGTGCTTTCTAGCAGAGATTTATGCTGATATGGGGATGGTGTATATCTTATCCTGGGTGTGTTTAATAAAATTAAAAGTGTTGCTCACACGCATAAAGAGCATTGAGATTAAGTAATTTAACCCTTTAGAGCCGGTCGGAGCAGACACACTCTGTTTTGCGTAACTATTTTTAAATCCCGGTAGCTCTGCAACCACCTCGGTCACAGTTTCCTTCCACATA